TCCTCCCAAAAAACTTTGTCATTTTCATTTAGAGCTCGTTTGGTGACCGTCTTTCGACTTATGAGCCTTATAAGCCAACTTTTTCACCAAACACGTAACTTTTGATTACACGCGCTGAATTGTGTAATGATAAGAAAATATAAAGTTATAATTACTTTTCTGGCTGTGTTGGCTTAAGTTACTGTACATGAACACTTTAGCTAGTTTTCATATAATTGTTTCTTTATTTCATTAATAAAATATTTTTTAAATATAATTTTTTCATAAATTAGCAGAATCAACCACTTCAGCAATTAATTTCAGAAGAATCAGCCAATACAGCTGATTTAGATATTACCAAACAGGCTCTTAAAGTAACTAATATGTGGCTAATGTTATTTCTCTCTCCTCTACACAAATATCGATCACACAATTTTTACTTTATTATTCTACGTGCAAGTCAACATCGGCCATGTCAACATTCTACTTCATTTTTTAAGCTCAAAACTAATTTAAAGCAGCATTGTATTTATGAGACAAAAAAACGTACCCCGTAAAAAAGTGTGATTGCTTAGAAAATACCGTAGTACGCAGTAACTATTAAAATAAATACTATATTTCAAGCAAAATAGTACTCCCATGTAGTTAATGCAGATGGCTTGAGTAATCACATAAGCATTTCTAACAAAATTAAAATGTACTCCAATGATCACCAAAGAGGAATATACTTACGAGGGACAATTCCACTCCCCGGGATTCAACCCACGTTTGAGCTGTGGCTCTGTGCACCTTTTACAGCTACTTCTGCTGGCAAAATTAATGAACTCGCATCTGGAGAAAGTCAAACATGAGAAATCCCCGGGGAGGGGGCAAAAAGGGTAATCCATGATAGCAGTGGAAAAGAAAACGAACGCACTTCTATTTGTAGAGTATTATTTCCAAGTGCAGTACAAAAAACCCAGTCCTATATCTTGTTCTATCCACAAGAGTAAATGACCTTTCATGTTTTCTACGTTGGTGGTCTTACCTCCAATGTTAAACAAATCAAATCAATATCATATTCTCTCCAAGTTTATCCAGCATTTATCCCCTTCGTATCGTATCGATAGAGTAAGGGTCTTTTTAGAAGTCAGGAAATTAGAAAGAAATAAAATAGGGAGGGTGATACACTTAGAAATTTGGAAGGAAATAAAATGTTTGATAGAAACTAAATCTTGGTTCAAACTCATTGATTGGTATTCGAATAAACTCATTTTATTTGTTTGTTGATACTTCCCCCATCCCACAATAACTACTGCAGTTTTTCAGTCTAAGTGTTTACAGAGCTAAGATAATATACATTATTCATTCAAATAGATTGCTTGAGAAAAGGGGAGAGTAACTGCTTGTTGGGGTATTAGGCCCAATAACAGGCCGGCCCAAATACCACCAACGGACAGCACGATGGACCCAACACTCATGTACGGAACCCGGTCAGGGTAGGTCGAGATACCCGTCTCTACCGCGTGTCTCGGACGGGATGCGACACTTGGAACTTTCTCGTCTGCAGCTTTCACGCAATCGGTCTGTCAGACCATGCAGTTGGCGAGAAGCGCATTTAGTGCACCAAATATGGGAGATTTATGGTCAGGGGTAAGCCACTAAAGGCTCGCCATGTCACCTCCCCAACCTACTACCTTCTAGTATAAATACCCAAATTTATTTTATTATAAAGGGTTGACAAACTTGCATTCAATAGTCTAGTCTCTCTCTACTCTTATATAAACTCTCAGCTTGGAACAGAGGTTAAAGGCTGAGGCCCGGTAAGGGTGTGTTGTAACCGTTTTGCATTTGTTGAATAGAACGTGACACACTTTACCTTTTCTTCCTTGCTTTGCTTATTGTCATCTATTTGCTCATCAACTGACTAAAATAATCACTCAAATATTGTCGCATATATAAAGATCCGATGAGTGATGTGCGTAGAAGACCAAGTGATACAGACGAGTTGAGAGGTGTGGAGAAGAGACAGGGAAGAGAGGATGACCTAAACAGATATGGATTAGAGGAATCAGGAATGTTATGCTTCTTTGGTTGGATGAGGGTATGACTTTGTAGAAAGCAAAGTGAAGGACGGGTATTCATGTGGAGGAGTGATCTCTTATCATCTTTTTCTCCTCATATTCTTTTTCTTTCTTGTGTTTTTGGTTATATATAAATAAATATATATATATATATATATATAGACACACACACGCAGACATATTTTCATGTCCAGCCGGTCTGACGGAAACCGCCGTCCAGCCGAGCCCGTTTGGGGCTCTTACGGGTGGAATTTTTTAACGTGTAAAATAAGAATTAATCTCAGCCACCCAAACTTTCAATCTAATGCACAATAACCTTTATTTAATGCACTTTCTAACAAACCTTTTCTGATGCACTTTTTGAAAAGTGCATCAGATAAGGTTTATTCAAAAAGTGCATTCGATAAGGTTAATTTTGCATCAAATTGACTATTAGGATGGTTGAAATTAATTCTTATTATACACATTAAGACCTTTTCTAATTTGGATCAAATTATATACTATCCTCAAATCGAATATAATTACAACATAGAGCTGGACACGGGGATTGAGAATTGAAGGCTGAGTTTTGTATTTACCACTTTTACCCTTGTCAGTCACTATTATCTTTATCTATTATCTTTATCTGCTGCATGTATTATTCCTACCACTGAGAAACGGAATTGGGATGCAGTAAAATAAGGGTTCACAACATCTCGAGTGGAGTACAATACCAAATGCCTTTTCTTTCATTTGATCTTGAGATGGTTCACAACATATCAATTTTTGTAATCATCACCATTCGGTGGGTTCTCTGCGATGGAAGAATAGAAATAAAGAAAGGAGAGTTGTGGTAGCAGGGTGTGACGGAATGGAAAAGTTGAGAAGGAATTTATGGCTGTTGTGGAGTTTCACAACTTTCACTGATGGAAGAGAAGAGATTGTGGGGGGAGAAAAAAGCACTGCTATCACAAAATTGTAGCCGGAGAAAAAAATCTTTCAACAAGATTTCCATTCTGTCAAAGTTTAAAAATAAATTGGAGAAAAACAAGACAAAGAAAGAACAAAGAAAGAACTGATACATCTTCTTGGGTTGGATGAGAGTATGGTTTTGGAGAGAGCAAAGTGGAAGGCGCACATCCGTGTGAACGATTGATGTCTTTTCTGTCTTTCCTCTCTTTTTTCTTTTATCGTTTATCTTTGTATATTCTTATGTTATTTTTATATTCTAGCTTTTTTATGCTCTTTTTTTATCTTTTATCTTTCTTATATTCTTGTGTTATTGTTATCTTATATTTATTTATCTTTATTTTATTCGGTTTATCTTACTTTTTTTTCTTCCCTTTCTTGTATGTCTTCTCTGTTTGGCATTTATATCATTGATCGATTCATGTTAGCCGACCCCAAATTCTTTTGGGATTAAGACTTGGATGTTGTTGTTGTTTGTTGTTGGAGAAAAACTAGACAAAGAAAGAACACGATGAGGGATAAGAGGAGATGATGGCTTTGATAATGATGGAAGAAGACACCTGGGGAGGCCTGGTTGGTTGACGGAAATAATTTAGGAAATGAGTCCTCATATTGAGAAAAAGATGAGAGATTGTGCCGGTAGAATGGCACGTGAGATTAATCCCGAAGGTTTTAAGTTGTGGTATTCGGGAGAGAGAAACAGAAATGGAGTAGGTATTATGGTGGCACATGGTTTTGTTGAGGGTATGGTTGAAGTCTTCAGGAAAAAGGATCGCATCATGAGCATTAAGTTGATAATAAGAGATGAGATCGTGTCTGTGGTAAGTGCCTATGCACCACAAGTGAGATTGGATGCATCTATAATTCAACAATTTTGGGAGGATCTTGAGGAAGTGGTGCGATTAGTGCGAAGGAAAGTGAGACTTATTTTATGGGACGGAGGGAGTATTAACATATGATAAGCATTATCAAATTTCATAATTCCTTGCATTTTCGGGATCCAAACATTATCTTAGGATATATCTAGAACTTGGAAAATGCTAAAATCAGATAATGAGGAAAATATAGGAGAAATTTGGAAGGAGAAAATGTAGGGAAAACTAAAACATTGGTTCATAACTTCAAACTCAATAATCGAATCACAAAAAGAGAAGAGTTATCTGTTGTCTGAAAACCCTAGTGGCGGGAGATTGTGGCGGGAGATTGTGGAAGTCGTCGATCCATGGGAACAGTGCGACCAGGATGAGCGGGGGATCGGGTGCAGAGGGTTGTTGTCTCTATCACCGGCTGGGTTAAAGGTTTCCTCCTTTGTTTCTATTACCATAGTGTCTTTGTTTTGTGCTCTGTTTAGTTTTGCTTCTTGTTTTGTCCGGCGTTTTCATCTTGCCAAGGGTCTCCTATGTTCCTTGTGAACGACTTTTGCTTTGGTTTGTTGGTGGTTTTGGCGAAGAGGGCAGGTCTTTTCCGGAAAGGTGTTTCACCAGCGTAGGGGTTGAATGTTTTTCTATCCTGATTTTGTTGAGAGCTTGCCGTGCCGTGGTGAGCATCTGATTGGCTGTCTTCCTATCAATTATTTTGAAGCTTCGTCGCTGTTAGTTTTTGTTATACATATGGATACTCTTGTTAAGAATTACACTAAACTCACCATTGAAGAGGACGAAAACACGGGGCTGGTTCAGGAAGCGGATCTGGTAGGGGGCGACGGCAAGGATGGGGCGGTGTGTTTCTTGGCAGTGGCACGGATGGCCTTCCTGTTGTAATACTGCCCCAAAACCAGATCCTGATGCATCACATTCAACAATAAATTCTTTGTCGAAATTAGGTAATTGGAGAACTGGGGCTGATGAAAGGCACAGTTTGAGCTGGAATGATCGGTTCGAATAAGAAATTCAGATCCCCATAAATAGGGTCGCCAATGTGTGACTGCTTTGGCTAACCCTATCAGTTCCCGTTCATAAGCTGCGAGCTTAACATGACGTGCAGCAATCTTGCGACTAAAATATGCGATGGGATGGCCTTCCTGTTGTAATACTGTCCCAAAACCAGATCCTGATGCATCACATTCAACAATAAATTCTTTGTCGAAATTAGGTAATTGGAGAACTGGGGCTGATGAAAGGCGCAGTTTGAGCTCGTGGAACGCTTCTTCGGCTGCATCTGTCCAGGAAAAGGCACTCTTCTTCAGCAATTGTGTGAGTGGACCAGCAATCTCACCATAATGGTGAATAAATTTGCGATAATAACCTGCCAGGCCCAAAAAACCGCGTAAAGCTGTAACTGATCGGGGTGTTGGCCACTCCGTGGTGGCCTGGATTTTGGCTGGATCAGCCTCAACGCCTTGGCTATGAATAATATGGCCGAGATATTGTACCTGCGGTGCGCCAAAACTGCATTTGGATTTTTTTAAAGCAAGGCCATGGGTGCGCAAGGTTTCCAGGACAAGGTGGACATGATAAACATGTTCTACCCAAGATTTGCTATAAATGAATATGTCATCGAAGAAGACGAGGACAAACTTACGAAGGTATGGTGCAAAGATGGCATTCATTAAGCTTTGAAACGTGGATGGTGCATTGGTGAGCCCAAATGGCATGACTAAGAATTCGAAGTGGCCATGATGAGTTCGAAAAGCAGTCTTTTCGATATCTTCTTCTGCCATGCGGATCTGATGATATCCTGAGCGCAAGTCAAGTTTTGTAAAAAACTTGGACCCATGAAGTTCGTCCAACAACTCATCGATGACAGGAATCGGAAATTTGTCCTTAACGGTGCGGGCATTGAGTTCTCTATAGTCAACATAAAACCTCCATGTGCCCTCAGCTTTTTTAACTAGAATGACAGGTGATGAAAAGAGAGATCTACTTGGGCGGATGATACCTTGCTGGAGCATCTCAGAACACTGCCGCTCAATCTCGTCTTTCTGGAAATAGGGGTAACGGTATGGTCGAACGACCACCGGACTAGTTCCTGGAAATAATGTGATTTTGTGATCACAAGCTCGTGTAGGCGGCAGACCAGATGGCAAGCGGAAGATGTCTTCAAACTGGCCCAGGAGGCTTTCTAACTTGGGAGATGATGTGGTAATCATGTGGGCCTGAAGTGGAGGTGCGCCATCATGGCCATGCCATTCCACAGAAGTGTTCTGCCATCTGAATCGCATGAAAAGGCGTGAAAAATCCCATTCAATGGTGCCAAGATTGCGAAGCCACTGAACGCCCAATATCATGTCAAACCCGGCCAGTGGAAGCACATAAAAGTCGGCTATAAATGTGCGTCCGTCCACTAAGAAGTCAAGCCGAGGACAAGTGCCCAAAATAGGTACCTGATCTCCATTAGCTACTAGAACATGAAAATAAGATTTCTGGTGCAGGGAAGGGTTACTGGCAGGAACTAGGAACTAGTCTTTGATGGAGAAAATTATGGGTACTGCCGGAGTCCACCAGAACAGTGATGGGCATATTATTAAGGGTGGCGGCTAATTGCATTGTAGAAGTGGAGCCGATTCCAGTCATAGCATGAAGAGAGAGGGCTGGTTCAAACTGCTCTTCGGACTGGTCATCTTCTATAATGTCAATAAAAAATAATTTTTTGCATTGATGGCCATGAACCCAAGGATCGTCACAGTTATAACAAAGGCCCTTTTCCCGGCGAACAGCAGCTTCTACTCGAGAAATCTTTTTGAAGTGTGGATTGGAGGTGCGCCGTGGTAAATTCGATTCTGCAGGAGCAAGTACTGATTCTGAACGGGCAACTGATTGGGGACGTATTGGAAGTGCAGGCGAAGAATGGCCTATACTGTACTTGCTCTCAACAGCCCTGGACAACATCATAGCAGAATCCAAGTCAAGAGGATCCTGGTATTCAACCTCCATGCGTACATCCTCGTGCAGCCCAGCGGTGAATATTTTTACCTGCATACGGGCAGAAATTCCCACAGTTCGAGCCAACATCTGTTGGAATATTTCAATATAATTCTCGAGATCGCCGGTCTGGCGTAGTTTGGCTAGATCGCCTTCTGGATTTGTGCTACTCGGCGGCCCAAAACGTTTAGTACAACGACTGTAGAATTCAGTCCAAGAGATAACGGAAGTTCCAGTATCCAACTGATTAGCCCATAGTTGTGCGGTCCCGATCATGTGGAAAGTCGCCAAACCCACCCTAGCTGGAGCAGGTGTGCGTTGCTGAATAAAAAAGCTCTCACAGCGTTTTAACCAGGAGAGGGGATCGCTTTTCCCATCGTACTGTGGGAATTCGATTTTCGAGAACCTGGGAATTAAAGAATCTTCAGTATCACGACGCGAATGGCCTGCCTCTCTCCTGTGGTCGAACTGGGAGGAACTGGATGAGGAATCGCCTGTTAATTTCTACACCGTTGAAGCGAGCGTCTCCATGGCGGCCGGAGGCCCGGAAGGGTGGCCAGTTGCGCCATAGCGGTCTGCAGATCTGCCAAGGTTTGTTCCACCGCCAGTTGCTGGTGATCGATACTCTCAATCATGGTTTTTAGTGAATACGCACTCTCAATCATGGTTAAGTGCGTGAGTTAGAGACCTCGTCCAAGGACGTGAACGGGATTGACCACAGGTAAGGGATGATGTTCCGGAAGCTATTTTTAATTGACGAGGAATAGATGAACTGAAAATAGAGGCTTAATAGATAATTATCTATCGCTGACCTAGTCAAGAGATCTCAAGATTAATTAACCAAAAAGCTGTTTATTAAAGTAGCTGGGATCCCCTTAAATAGATAAAGGGTTTCCTAAAACAAATAGGAAACTAAGTTGCAAAAGGGTTTCCTAAAACAAATAGGAAACTAAGTTGCTATTCTAATACAACTTAAATAAAGGAATACTAATTAAAGTAGGACTAATTAAATACTAATAGTAATATGACTCTAACTGCCTTCTTATTTCTTTTCTCTTAGCCACGTTGGTCATTAATCTTCTCTGCCCCACACTGCTTTCTGCGTTCATATGTACGACCATAATATTGGTCCGTAACATCTGCGTCTACATGGGTCTTTTTATTCTAGTTGTTTTTATTATCTCAAGACATTTTAGTTAATTTCAATTCTATTTCTAGTGGCAGGTGCAACTGTGTCATTATGTTAGTGGAGTCTACTATAGTGTGGGGTTAGCAAGTTGGTCCGCTATTAAGGGATCTTTCAGTTCTATGTTTCACCCCAGTGTAGCCTCTAGTTTAATGGCTTTGATTCTTGTTATCCTTATTATTAAAATTGAGTTATCTTTTGCCAAAAAAAAAACTTCAAACTCAATAAATATTTTTGTTTTTATATGTACAGGAGTTTTATTTATTAATTTGTATTATACAGAGACTTCAAAAACTAAACACACAAAAAGTTTCGAAAACATTGAATTATATACTTGATTTTCCTTCAAATTTTCAAGGGTAAACCCAAACACAGGAAAATAACTTACCTTAGAATTTCCCTTTCCCTAGCAACTAGTGGAAAACTGGAAACTGAACATATGCTTAGTAGCATAAGAATCTATTTTGGGAACTTTATCAACTGATTAGGCAATTATTAAGTCGATTGGCTAAATACTCTCATAATCATATATGCAAGGGATCGAACATTACAAAACAAATTTTTAAATTGCCAATCATGAAGTAAAAGTGTACAATATATAACGGCCAACTTCCAATGCAAATTAAGTCAGGCGAGGTTAGGTCATGATTACGTTTTCCTATAACACCTAAAATGAGCTTTACTAAGAGTATATAATACAGTGGGGTAATGCTGAGTGAACTTACTTTGTGCACTTCCAATCTCCTTTTCTCATTTCAGTATCATTAATACCAAGTAATCTCTTCGGTCTGTCCTCACTTAGATTTGGTTGTTGACTGGGCTGTGGCTCAGTGCACATTCTACAGCTACTTCTGCTGGCAAAATTTATGAACTCGCATCTGGAGAAAGTCAAATATGAGAATATATGTCAACCATGGTGACAAAAAGGGAAATACAATGTAGCAGTGGAAAGAAAACTTTATATCCCATAATAATTCCATAAAGATAAGTTTGTATTTGATTTTGGTCCACCTCACAAAGACAGTCTAGTTTCTATATTAGGTGTCCATTAAAGTGTCCATTGCCCCTATTTAAGTTGTTCATTTCAAAACTCCGAGATGGGCAGAAATCATTAATTAATATTAATGTAGGAAAAAAGTGAGAATTACATATGAAGTTAATGATTCCAAATTTCCAACTAACTCAACAACAATTTCTTAATCCTCATGCAATTAGATACTAGCCTATGCCTGTTTTTTTGGGAGGAGAGTGTGTATATTGATGGTCTTAGTGTCTTACCACCACCACCCCCTTCAATGCTAAAAAACTCAAATCAATCACATATTTTCCTCAAGTTTATCTAGTACTTGTTCTTCTATATTGAGAGTCAGTAATGGAAGGATCAACTTCCGGGAATTTATGAACAATGAGAACATTGACAAGGCAATTTTGAACTTGATTGGGTTAGACTGCAAAAATCAGATATTCAGAGTTTCAGACAAACTTCCAATGCAAATCAGGTCAGACAAGATCAAGTCAAGAACTCAAGTAAGTCAAGTAATACCTAAAATGAGCTCCAATTAAAGGATATTACCTAAAATGAGCTCCAATTAAGTCAAGTAATACCTAAAATGAGCTCCAATTAAAGGATATTACGGTAGGGTAAGGCTTACTGGACTTACTTTATGCACTTCCAATCTCCTTTTCGCATTTCAATATCATCACCAAAAAATCTTTTTGCTGCCTCTGCTTTGCATTCCAAACACTGCATATTCTTGGCGTAGTTCATAAAGTTGCACCTACAAGAAATTGTGTTAACCATAAAAATAAGACATTGAGAAATATAAGCTGTGAGAATAAGCACTAAAAATTATGGGAATTCAAGAAAGGAATTAGCATAAAGGTGTTAAGAGTGTGTTTCATTTCAGCAAGCATTAAGGGTATGTTTGAAACCCATGAACTGCGAGTGAAAAGAAAAAATGGCTCAAAGTCAACAAATCAATTTTAGATATTTGTTCAAACTCATTTAGTTATACAATTCTATTATAAAAAGAAAAAATATCTTCCATAGTACAGGAGTATATATTTTTCCACTCCAAGACTTTTTCTGGGATACACTTCGCATTTCCAAGCATAACCTAAAATAAATTAAAACACTCTAAAACCAAGGGAGGAAACAAAAGGTGACAGTAAATTGGCAATATACTACTTGGGATTAATAATATTAAATATGATGAGCTTAGCGATTGAAGCCCACTTGAAATACAAAGATGTATAATTTTTTCATTTTCATGATCCCAGAGAAACCACAATATGGAAAAAGAAAACAGAAAGTAATAGCCAACTTACTTGGAGCATATCCAATCTCCTTTTTTCATATTAACATTGTTCCTGTCTGCCTTTTTTCGTGTACTTATCCTACAGAAGCATATGACCTTTAGCATGAGTTATGCAAGTGCATTGTACAATTAACACAGAGAAGTTGAACCTCACCTGCTTTGTGGGATAGAAAAGGAAATGGTTACTTGTATAAATCTCTCTACATCTAATGTAAATATACGATTTGTTGATGTTGATTCTATATCTGACTGACTCTCTTTTGAAATTGATACTAGAACCTTTTAAGTATGAGAAAGCGAATCTTTTTTCCTTGTTTGACATGGTGTCTTTACTTTATTGTAGGAGAAAGAGGCCCACCTTGGATTGTTTCCATAACTTGCTAAATTAAACTTATTCCTGTGAAAAAGGCCAAAAATGCAAAGTGAGATCATTTAGCGATAAAAATAATATAAATACACAAAGCATGTATCTGTGTGTACGCATAACATGTTATTTTATACAAGTATGACTTGCACACATACAATGTGTTTTAATTATATGTATGCTTTTAAAAAGTTGAAGTATGGCTTAATCACTTCATTATGCATGTGTATGGAGTTGTTACTATATAGTGATGCTGTTTATTTTAATATACAGAAATTATCAAATTAGCACCTCTCACTATATTCAATCCGGCAATTAAGCCCTCTTAATTTGCAAACACCCAATTGAACACTTTAACTTCTTAAGAACACTCAATTAGCATTTTTTTAATTGTCTGCTCAGAGGATTTTCTATTTTATTTATCTTTATTTTATTTTTCATTTTGTTTTTAAACTCTCACTTTCCTTTCTGAGATGTCCCAAAATTAGGTTATAGCTTCTCTTTTCAGTAACATGTGAGTGGAAAGGTACATCAATGAATAGTAATTTTCTCTTCCATACTTTTCTGAAAGAGCGTAAGTCAATAAATACAATTATTTTTCATAAAAAACTCATGAAGTCAAAATAGGAACTTAATTGTGGGATGGAAGGAGTATTATGTATCTTAATATATAAATAGAAAGATGATTTTTGTGGGATTATAAACTATAAATGTAAAAATATATAATATGACTGAAACGTGAAATATCAATGACTTCTTTTTATTCATTAAAATTATTAATTTTAATACACAACTAGAAATGTATGTATAAAAACTACAATTTTGATCATGTACAGTATATTAGTTTATTACAAATATAAATATATATATATATATATATATATATATATATTAGTTTTATTTATCATTAAAATGTGTGTGTGGGTATGCTTGTGTGTGTATTCCGTGGGATTTATTTATATTATATAAATATACAGAAACAACTTGTTTTCCCTTGCAAGATGATGTGTTGAGTATTTGCATATAACATACAGCATTTCATCATCATTCATCATCATCATCATCACCCCAGTGCCACAAAGGCTCCCACCTACAGTGGGGTAAGGGGATCGGATGTACGCAACCTTACATCTGTACTAAAGCACAGAGAGACCGTTTCCGGATGACCCATGGTGAAAATTACGTCGGAAATTACATAGACTGAATGCTGCTTCATAACAAAGAAGCGCACAGTTTAATGAAACATTTTGCATGATTCCATCATATTCCCAAGCCAAACAAGAGTGAATCTACGGCATTTCGTGAACAAAAAATATAAGAATTAGAATCAGTTTTAGAACATGTCCCCATGCTACTCCAAACGGACTCTTAAAGCCCAGAAATGGATTCTCAAGTGTCAATCATATTCTCCAAAGACATGTATGATTTCAAGTGCTTCTTTGAGGAGTATAACTAACTAAACAAACACCACCATATTCTAGTTACCATGATCTTTATAACACAATTTCTCATGTTACCCAATTCTTATAAAAATTTACTATATTTATTTTCTTTCACAAACAACATATAAAACTATTAGAAAGAGAGAAATTGATCTTATTGATTCAGGGAAACAGTACAAGTATTTATAGTAAGAGTAAGTCTAACTAACCGATCAACAGACTGATCAGAAAGTCTTCAACTAACCGTAACAACCTATAAATACAATTGGTTATTTAGAAGGCTATTTACAGTAACAAGACTTATACAATATTCCTAACATTCCCCCCTCAAAATTAGGGTGATTGATTTGGAAAATCAATCACACTAAATTTGGTTCTCATATCCAGGAAAGTGGCTGCAGATAATGGTTTTGTTAGTACAAGTCTTGTGGTTGACTCCAAGGATTAGAAGGTGTAGAATTAGGGTTGTTGTAGTTTTGAATGGGTGCAGAATAAGCAGGATTGTACCGGTGATAGCAATTTAGGGCATTATGACCAGATTTTCCACGAACTTGACAGATAATTGAATTTCAACCTCCAAAGCGACCACCACGTCCTCCGGTGAATCCTCCTTGACCACGTCCTCTGTAGGGAGGATTGGAGTTCTGATTTTGAAACTGAGCAACGTTTGCAGAGGAGATTTCTGAAATTGTTGGATTAACTGCTTCAGGATTAGGAGTCAGAGCTTCCACACGAGCAACATTTGCAGAAAACAGTGTCTGCTGAGAAGATTCACGCAATTTCTTTTGGCGTAACTCCTTTGCTAAAAGTAGCGACTCAAGCTCTGTGATAGTTACTGGATCTAAGATGCTTCGAGATGAAATAGAAGAAACGAGCGACTCATACTCCTCTGGAAGTCCTTCGAGAATGACAATAATATGTTCCTTCGTGGATATCGGTTCACCAATGTTCATTAAAGTATCAACGATGTTCTGGATACGGAGAAGGTATTCTGAAATTGATTGTGTTGATTTAGGAAGAGAAGCTTTTTGTATTACACATTTCAGATCATACATCATGACTCCCATATATATAGGGAAGTAAATGATACATTAAAGGACAAAAGAAAACTGAAAGTCATAAAGGAAAATGAAAAGTTAAGCTGCTGGAAAGTATGGAATATAAAAAAAGGCATATGCTTTAAATGTTATTTCCAACACTCCCCCTCAAGCTGGAGCATATATATCATGGGCTCCAAGCTTGCTACATATATAATCTATTCTTGGTCTTCTAAGAGACTTAGTGAGCACTTCTGCCAATTGATCCTTTGAATTCACAAAAGTAGTGATGATGTCTCCAGATCTCATCTTGTCTCTAACAAAATGACAGTCTACTTCTATATGTTTGGCTCTTTCATGAAAAACTGGATTCGTTGCAATGTGTAGGGCAGCTTGGTTATCACATATCAACCTCATGGGTCTGAATTTGCAGAAATTGAGTTCGGAAAGAAGATTCTTAACCCAAATTAGCTCACATGATCCAAGAGCCATCGCACGATATTCGGCTTCTGCACTTGATCGTGCCACCACTTCTTGTTTCTTACTCTTTCAAGAAATCAAGTTTCCACCCAAAAGTATACAATAACCTGTGGTGGATCTTCGATCCCATGGGCACCCAGCCCAATCTGCGTCGGTATAGCCCACAATTTTTGTGTGTCCGTGATTCTGGAATAACAACCTTGTACCTGGTGCTTGTTTAATGTATCTTAAGATGCGAGTAACAGCACTCCAGTGGCTCTCACACGGTGATTGTAAAAACTGACTTGCAACACTTACACCAAATGAGATGTCAGGACGTGTAATAGTGAGGTAAAGAAGTTTTCCAAAAAATCTTCTATATCTACCAGGATTTGATAAAGGCTCCCCCTGTCCCGGTAGAAGCTTGTCATTAGGATCCATCGGCGTATCAATTGGCTTACAGTTTGTCATACCAGCTTCTTCAAGAATGTATAAAGCATACTTTCTTTGTGATATGTACACACCTTGTTTTGACTGTGCAACTTCAATACCTAGAGAGTATCTCAATTTGCCGAGATCTTTTGTTTCAAAATGATGAAATAAATGCTTCTTAAGAAGTTTTATTCCCTCTACGTCATCACCCATGATCACAATATCATCCACGTAAACCACAAGATAGATATTAAGACCTTTTTGGGTTCTGTAAAATACAGAATGGTCAACTTTACTTTGAATCATGTTAAATTTTTGTACTACTTCACTGAACCGTCCAAACCAAGCACGTGGGGACTGCTTCAACCCATACAATTAGCGTTTGAGGCGGCAAACTAGATCAGCTCCCCCGGAAGCAATGAATCCCGGAGGTTGTTCCATATAAACCTCCTCCTTTAGATTTCCATGCAGGAATGCATTTTTTATATCCAATTGATGTAACGGCCACTGTCGTATTGCTGAAATAGCCAGTAAAGTGCGAACTGATGCTATTTTTGCAACAGGGGAGAATGTATCAGTATAGTCGATTCCAAACACTTGTGTGTATCATTTGGCTACAAGCCTGGCTTTTAGCCGGTCTATCATGCCATTAGGACCAACCTTGACTGTGTATAACCATCTGCAGCCGACCACAGGTTTATTTGGTGGTAGAGGCACAAGTTCCCATGTCCCTGACGAGTGAAGGGCTTCCATTTCATCAAGCATGGCCCTTTTCTAACCTGGATGACTCAATGCTTCCTTGACACTTTTAGGAACAGAAACAGAAGAGAGGCGTGTAATAAAGGCACAATATGATTGTGACCAATGATTGTATGAGAGGAAGTTATATATAGGATATGGATTTCGAGTGGATCTTTTACCAATTCTGTTGGCAATAGGAAGATCATTAGTTATCTCTTGGGCTAACTCTTGAGGTGACGATGGCTCAGCACATAAATCACTTGGATTACTATCTTCTTTTTCTGTTGGATGATGGTAAGGCTTACTCGAACGATGTCGACGGTGATAGGTATAAGGGAACTCAATAATATGGTTCTCTGGAATGTCACCGGGAGTTCCTTTTTCAGGGATGGCCAAAGATGTAGGTTCAGGTTCAGGAAAGTATGGGACAGGCAGAACGGGTTCATGTTCTTTGAAAGGCTGCATAGGGACAATTTCTGTAGACTCATTAGTAAAGTTTGATTCATCAAGGGAAGAAGAATGAGAGAAATATGGAGTAGACTCAAAGAAAGTGACATCAAAAGATGTATACATACGCTTTGACGTAGGACAGTAACATCGAAAGCCCTTTTGAAGACGAGAGTATCCCAAGAACACACATTTGATAGCTTTAGGGGAGAGTGTATCCCTTCCCGGAGTGATATCACGAACAAAGCAAGTGCACCCAAACACCTTTAAAGGTAATTTGTGCAAAGATTCATCAGGGAACAAAACATTGTAAAGAGTCTTTCCTTGTAGTATATCAGAAGGCATGCGGTTTATGAGATAACAAGAGTGAATAAGCATGGTTCGGGCAGTTTCCACTAGGTGTCGATTCTTCCGTTCAGCCACTCCATTTTGTTGAGGAGTGTCTGGACAGGAAGATTCATGAAGGACCCCATGACTATCCAAAAATTTAGAGAAAGATTCGGAAAAATACTCCTTGGCATTGTCACTACGAATGGTTTTTATCACCACCCCAAACTGAGTTTTTATTTCATTGACAAATTTTAGGGATATACTGAAAAGCTCAGACCGATCTTTCATTAAATAGATCCAAGTACAACGCGAAAAGTGTCAAAGTGATTCATTCCAGGTCCATCTCTTGCGGTCCCTTTTTCGTACAAACGAGCCTCCTAGCCGTCTTAAAGGAGAGGGCTACACTAGGCCAAACTCCAAGAGTCTACATCAATAAATGTAACAAAGTATTGAAATCCAAAGATAGACTTAACTCGACTCGGTCCCCATACATCAGTATGAATTAGAGAAAAGGGAGCAACTGCTCATTTATTTATCCTATTTTTGTAGGAAGCTTTAGATTGCTTGCCTAACTGACATGACTCACACTCGATTGATGAAACATTAGACATTATAGGAACAAGTTGACGAAGCTTATTTAGGCTAGGATGACCAAATCGACTATGAAGAAGCAATGATGTAGAAGTGGTGGCAGTGCAAACAATATTGTTGTTGGCTAGATGATATAAGTCATATAACCCTTGTGATTCATATCCTGTGCCAATCGTCTTCCTCAATTGTCGGTCCTGCACAGTCACAGATTTAGTGGAAAATATAATTTCACAATTAAGATGTGAATTGAGTTTATGGGCAGAGATCAAGTTGAAGTTGAAGGGGCAATAAGGAATATACAATACAAAGGATAATGAGAGAGAAGGGAGTGGAAAGGCATTTCCAATTCCTATAGCTTTACCTATTGACCCATCACCAAAGGTATCAAATGGAAGAGAATTGGAAAATGTCAAGCATGTAAAAAGTGAAGGATTACCAGAAATGGGATCGGTACCACCTGAGTCAAAAATCCAAACAGGATTGGACTGAGAGGCCAAGGAAACATGAGTTTTGTAAGGTGTAATTGAGGTTCGAGCAGCCTTTAACCATGGTTTAAAAAGGCGCTTATGAGGCGGGTTCTGAGGCGCACCTCAAGCTGAGGCGTACTGGTTGGGTATCAAGGCGTAGGTTTTTTTCGCAGGTAAAGAGGCTTACGCCTCATAGATTGAGGCGCACGCCTTGAGGGACGCCTTGAGGCGCGCCTTAAGGCGTTTGTTGAGGCGCACGCCTTGAACACTTGCGCAGTGACTTAAAACAGGCCCAAGTATTTCATTTAATAAAAAGCCCAGAGTTCTTTCTAAATAGAAGCCCATATACTAAACCCTAACAAGTCTTATTTCATTCAAATCCTGATAAGGATTTGAAGGATTTGAACCTTAATGTATACTTTCTATTCACCTACGCAAAGAAATCTCTCTTGTCCTGCGACATCTCTTTACAACAGCCCAAAAGCTTCCAGGTAACTTTTCTTCTCCATCCCCTTCTCTTTCTCCTATTCTTATTTAACTCCTTTCCTTCATTTCTTCTCCTTCACTGCTTTTTATCCTTCTCTTACAGAACTGTTGTTCTTCTTCTCCTTCACTGCCTCTTATCATTCTTTTACAAAACTGTTGTTCATGTTTTCTAATTGGTAAAGGATTTACTTTGCTTCCTTAGTCATGTCATTAATAAGAGTTCTGTATAGATTTAGTTTAATGGTGAGAGGTTCAAAGAAAACATGTCATGCTTCTACTGCTACACCTAGTAGTTCTGAAGGCCTAGGTGATGAAATTTGTGTGGGTTGTTTCTGTGTGTTTGTGAGACTGTGATGTGTCTGTTTTTGTGAGATGTTTCTTTTTGTGTGTTTGAAGCCTAGTGACTTACTGGTAACAGGTCACATGTATTTGTGTCTCACACTTTTTGGACTTATAATTATGGATATCCTTTACTTCTTGAGTTGTTTGTTACTAGTTTAATTATATCAAGTTTTATATGTCTGTATTTTTTTAGGCTTACGCCTCGCCTCTTAGGAGCAAACCGCCTTGAAACCCGAACCCGCCTTTTTAAACCTTGCCTTTAACTACTGGAATTCTTCATACTCAGACTGTGAGAGAACATGGGAACATTTAGCTTCCTTATTGACTTCAGCTACATTGACCGTGCTTGGTTTCCCATGTAGGTTCCAACATTGATCACGTGTGTGTCCTGGCTTGTTGCAATAATCACAAAAACATTGCATACCTCTGCCACGGCCTCCTCCTCTTCCGTGAAGATTGTCTCTTCCTCTACCTCAACCACCCCGAGAGTGAGAAACAAAAGCAGAGTTATTAGCATTGTTGTCTTCTGTGACTGAGGTCCCTCAAAGTAGCCGAGTAAAAACTTCAGTAATGTTCGGAACATTTTTCTCGCTCAAGATCTGGCGTCGAACCACTTCAAACCTTGCTCGTAGAGTGTCAAGACTACCCAGAATTTTTCCCTTTGAGCTTGCTGTCTTTCAATGGATTCTTCCATTGGCATAAGCGTAATAAATTCTGTCATTAAGCTTTGAACTTTCCCTAAGAAAGTTTCCATTGACATCCCAAATTTTGTTATTTTTAAAATTTCATCAACAACTGAATAAAAGCGAGATATGTCATTTGTATAGAGAGACTTGGCTTGCATCCAGACAGAAATACACGTTCTGAAAGGGCGGAACATTGGAACGATTTCTGGTGAGAGAGACTGTCATAAGATGCTGCAAAGTTGGGCATCAACGCGTTTCCAGACTTCTCTTTGATACTCAATTGAATCAGCTTCTGTGACCAAATGGTCATCCACTCCTTGTCCCATGAACCACAGTTCCACAGCACATGCCCAATCTTGATAATTTTGTGATCCAATAAGTTTATTATTGGTAATAGTAGGGTTTCCAGAAAGATTTGGGACGTAAACGGGAACAGGAGCTTTTCTTCACTACTGCTTGTTACGACCATGATGAAAAAAATAAAATTACTGAAATTATTCACCGCCGGAATTCGCTGGAGAGGGACGAACACCTTGAAGATTGATTCACCAGAAAATATGCTCAAAGTCCCCTCCATGTGCAGATGGAATTTCAGACCATACCCAGGTCTCTGATACCATGTTGATTTAGGAAAAGAAGCTTTTTGTATTACACATTTCAGACTATACATCATGACTCCCATATATATATGGAAGTAAATGATACATTAAAGGACAAAAGAAAACTGAAAGTCATAAAGGAAAATGAAAAGTTAAGATGCTGGAAAGTCTGGAATATAAAAAAAGACATATGCTTTAAATGCTATTTCCAACAGATTGATCGCTTTTTCCTGTCGAGTAGAGCTCAGATTTGAGTTGTCTCGCCCTTGCAACAATATTTGCCTGGAAGTAATTGTCAATTTCGTTCCAGAGTTGGTACAAATGTTGACAATGAATAACTCGAGTATGAAGAGTTTCGGAGAGAGATGCCAGGAGCCATGAAAATAGCATCTGATCCTGCTGTTCCCAAGTGATATAGGCATCGTTCTCAACTTTGGCACCGTCTTCATTACCGGCGATGAATCTCTCTGGAATTTCAGGTTTCTCAACAAATTTGAGAAGTTTATGAGCACGAATTACAGACCTAACATGGTGTTTCCATAGAAGAAAGTTATTTGAATCAAGTTTAATAGGAAGTGGATGATTGAAAGTGATCGGAACTGTGACATTTCCAGAGGTTTGGGAAGAAGCAGAAGTCGAACTGGAGTTCGTCATGAAGGAATGAGCTGGAGCTCCGATACCATATTAGAAAGAGAGAAATTGATCTTATTGATTCAGGGAAACAGTACAAGTATTTATAGTAAGAGTAAGTCTAACTAATTGATCAACATACTGATCAGAAAATCTTCAACTAACCGTAACAACCTATCAATACAATTGGTTATTTAGAAAGCTATTTACAATAACAAGACTTATACAATATTCGGAATATTCCTAACAAAAACAAACACAAAATGCTTTGAAGAGATATTGATATAAAATCGGTTTTATGTCCAACAAACGAGCTTCAAAGACTTACTTGTGACCCGTTGAGTGTTCATGTAGTTCATCACTTTCCAAGCCTTCATCAACCATGGAACCAGTACTTCGTTCCATTTCAGGAGAAGTTATGTGAATAGGCTTTGTTAGTTTAGGGTCTATTGGTGTGTCACTCAGCTCAACCAACTCCAACAGCAATTTTCTAACAGATGCTTCAATTTGTTCTCTTCTCAGAGGAGGCTTCTCCTCCTGTGATGTTACAAGTGGATCCAACGCATACAAAACTAGTAGACGTACAATATCAACTGTACGTGCAGATCCTTCAGATTCTTTTAATATTACATTAGCCCTATCACATGATCCCTGCAAACTGCACGCACCACATGCCTGCATATACATGCTTCATTAAGCTATGAAGATGCTAGTTTACTAATAGGGTTAATTACATATACCTCTCCATAAGTTTTCAATTACCTAACTGTCCCTGAAGTAGTCTATTACATATAGATTATAGACCGTTTCAGTAGTCATATTTTTATGAAACATAAAAGAATCTAATGATATTTCCATCAATTGAAATGGAGCCAAAGACTCACTATTTTTTGGCTTGGGAATGTGATGGAATAAAGCAAAATGGTTCACTAAACTGTTTGCGCTTCTTTGTTGTGAAGCAGCGGTCAGTCCATGCAACTTTCGACGCGATTTTCACTATGGGTCATTCGGAAACAATCTCTTTGTGCTTTAGTACAGAAATACAGGGACAAGACTGTGTACACCTTACCCCCCTACCCCACCGTAGGTGGGAGCCTTTGCGGCACTGGGGTGATGATGATGATGATGAATAGAATCTAATGATATTGACATGAATTGAATTTTTCAGGCTGAATTTTATTTTTTTAAATGTGATTTATCAATTAAGATGTTAGATATCATTTTAGAAATAATAAAATTTGGGATAATTGTTAAGAACAATTTACTCTGAAACGCCCAATTTCTACTAATTTTATAATATTGTATCATCTTTCTTTGTAATTTACGAAGCATGTGACTTGTAGGTTATATTTAAAATTTCATAATCCTTGAGGATCATTTCGTAGCTTGACCAAACTCCAGGTTGGTAGATGTAATTAACACTGCCTTATAAACTAAAAAATAGATCTGTAGGGTGCAAACTTACCTAGAAGTGGAACAAGCAAAATGATTTTAAAAAGTAAAGAATAACTAAATAAATGAAAAATAAATATAACACCTAACATACATGTCTTTCATTGAGCTGTAGATACACTCTCAACCTTTTTGCAGAATTAACAGCCTTCCGAAATAGATTAGGACATCCCTTTTCAACCACTGCTTGCATATCATGGGTAGGCAACATTCTGCGAGAAGTCCACACACACAAAAAAAAATTGTAAAGAGCATTTGGTTAGAGCAACATGTATGTTAAAAGCTTCACCCTTGGAGTCATCGCTTTACAGCTAAAAAGGACAATTTTCCCCAGCTCACCAGCTAATAGTAAAACTAATGACTTAAAGAGTAACTTTTATAGTACAAATATTGCAAACATGTTTTTTATTGTTATAAATAAATTAATGAAAACATCTTCCATTTTGAATACTTGCAGTCAGTGGCAGAGCCAAAATAATGGCTCAGGGGGTCGAAGCTCAACCTATATACAGAATGAAAAAGGTGGATTGTTTTTAAAAAATGTCCGAGTTGAATATTTCATATGCAGTTTAGATATATAGGCACTCGTAGCAATAAGATAGATTGTCTTTACTCTGTTTCTGAGTCGTGTCACGTAAGTATTGAGTGAATTATACCCTATTTTTAAAATTTGGGGAAATAATCTATAGTATGCATCAAATTTTGTTGATTTTACGTTTAGATAGTGCTGATTTTCCAGAAGTCGTAACTTTTTATTCGTAATAAGTTACTTGGGTCATAATATATCAAATCGAAGATATTCAGAGCTCTATACTCTCAAACTTTCAACGGGGTCGGCTGACCACCTGACCCCCTTGGCTCCACCCCTGCTTGCAGTATACATCAGCTGTCATAATTCTGCTAGTTGTACTACTTACAGAAGAAGTAGTAGTAGTATTGTGTGTTTGTGATTGAATATTTTATATCTTCAAAAAAAAAAGATTGAACATTTTAAGATATTGAGCTACCCTGTTACCAAATGTAATTGAATTCTTCCTCTACGTTTTGAGCTCTAATATTTGCATTTATACTGATGATAGATGCCAAGCAGTTACTGCAGAAACACCATATGTTTAAGGTGTAATAAAAAACACAAATCAAACAATTGAAAAAGTGAAGAAAGCATTGAAGAAGAAGAAGAAGAACTTACCTCAAAATATCAAAACGGTCACGAGCGAAATTTAGATAAGCATTCTTCAATATATTCGTTTCTCTATAAACAGACACATCACCACTCCCTTCGCTCATGGTAACAACAGAAGAAGAAGCGTCGGAGCTTTTAGGTAAGTAACCTTTGGTCTTCAAACAGTCAACAAAATTTATCCATTCTGGCCAAGGGTGCCGAACATTGACATCACTTTCAGAACTATCCACTGGAAATGTGAGGACACAGTCAGCCGCGGATGCGGACGAACAGTGGCCGCGTAACAATACGATTGGTTTGGCGAAGGGGAAAGGGGATGCAATGCGTGGGCAGCGGTAGAGGTGGTTCCGGAATATGGAAGCTCCGTAAGAGCCAAAAAATGTGGAAGCTGACATTTTTGGTATTTGAGAACTCAAGGACGGCTGGTGTTTTAGATTGGGGTGTAGGGAAAACTGCACAATTTCAAGGGTATGTTTGCAAAAAAAATGTGAATTTTTGTTTAAATTAAGGTTAAATCTATTATAATATAATAGCAAATTGATTATGAACAGTGTTCCCGCCCAAATACATTGCAAGTCCAATCTGCTCTGCCCTACAGAGAGATGCACTGGATTATTTTCAATTAAAGTGTCTTTTGATTTTTTACTTCGTAATATGCAAGTATGCAAATCGGTATGTCCGTTGCTTTTCCTGTCTGACTGTCTGACAAAGTTATTTCTGGTGGCCTTGGGAATATAATAAATTAATTTTATTGGCAGAGTCAATGCTCAAACTTAATTAATACTCCCTAGCATTAATTAATTCATTGTTAGAACCCTCCAGCAAAACAGTAGAAATTAGTAGTTTATTGATGAGGTTTTCAGAACTTCAACCGGATTACCATGGCGTAAACAGAAAGAAAGAGAAGAAATCAGAATGAGACACTTCGAGCAGTCCCCTCTCCCAAGTCCAAAGCCTAATTCCAATTTCTGCCTAACCTCCCCCTCTCCTCCCTCTCACTCGTATACTAATTTTATTCTTAAAGGCCGGCCCAAGCCCATATACATGGCCCAGAACCCTTATTTTTACTCTACCACCATTATTTAATATCACTCTATTACTATTATCAATAATTTTCTTCAGCCTAGGATCCTATCATATCTCCCCCCTTAGACAACCACTTTGTCCTCAAGGTGGGTGATAGGAAAAGGCCTTGATCGTCAACTTCATCTTCATCCTGGTGCCTCTTCCTTCCCAATATCTAAGTGATGGCCGAATTTGTTGGAAAATGTGTTAAATATTGCATTAAATGGTCCTTTTGGGGAAATTATTTGAGTGGGGTCCACTTCCAATTTGGGTCGGGTCAAAGTGGTTTCGGATTGTCCTTGTTAAGGGCTACAATTCGATATGTGGTACACTCAAAACGGATAACGGGTGAATGAGAAATTGATTCTCGAAGTTCACTCGTTGAAATGGAAAAACTGGAAAAATGATGGGTTTCTAGTGTGTTTTATCCCACACCGAAAAACTCAAGGGATTTTCACCGCCTTATAAAGGGAAGCATCTTTTAAGGAGTTAAGATTCCTAAGGGTAAAGGCTCTCTCTTACGCGCAGGGGGGGTGCAGATCAAATCCCGAAACGGAGAAGAAAAACCGTGACTCGTGAGCGCGGGCGACCTGCAGACACGAATGTCGTCCGAAAACCTATCATTCAAAGATACGGTCTAATTTTTGTTTCTTCCCGTAACGTTTTATTTTTCCCAGTGACAGAAGGGGTCGAGTTCTGTCCGCAACAGAGATGCTCGAGTTCTGTCTGCAACAGAGACCCTCGAGGCCTTCTGTTCGCAACAGAGACCCTCGAGGCCTTCTGTTCGCAACAGAGACCCTCGAGGCCTTCTGTTCGCAACAGAGACCCTCGAGGCCTTCTGTTCGCAACAGAGACCCTCGAGGTCTTCTGTTCGCAACAGAGCCGCTCGAGGCCTTCTGTTCGCAACAGAGACGCTCGAGGCCTTCTGTTCGCAACAGAAGGTCTTCTGGTCCGTTACAACAATAAATGTCCAACGTTCTTCTCTTTAAATGCTGCGTTAAATGGACAGTTTATGGACGATTCAATGCCCAACGGACTGGTCATTGATGTCCAACGTTCAGGTCCATTAACACCTCATTTAACACACAACAAATCCTCCTATAAATAGCTGGCAGGTGGTTTGCAACAAGACACACCGCACAATACATTCCTCACGAATTTCTTGAGCTAAAAACACCTACAGCTACTCTGCAAATTCCTTCTGTGTTCATACTTGGTTCTCGTTCGCTGGAACTCTTGTTTGTGTGCTCAAACATTAGTTCGTGGTCATCGTATCTTGGGAAACGATTGTTGCAACGCTCCTAGCACTGTGGGAGGCAACAAATACGTTTTAAGGACATCGTGCGTAGCACGAGCTTTGACTAATTCTGCTTCATCTCCTTTCTTGTTTTTCTCTAGTCATTTTATTTAATTAATTATTTTAATTAATTTCCTTTATTTTCCGAAACACACCCAACAATCTTAAAACGTATTTGTTGATTGTGTTACTGTGGTAAACAATCTTAAAACGTATTTGTTAATTGTTCTATTGTGGTAAATAATCTTAAATCGTAGTTTGTCACTTTGGTGAACGAACTTATTTTTTTTTGTGTTTTCGGAAAAAAGTTAAAGAACGAAAATGACTTCTCAAGAAAACGAGATTGGTGTTTGGCAGAATGTTCTGAACGACAATCACTCTGAAAGTGGAGCACCGGTGAACAATGGTTCACAACGCGGTGCATCTACTTTGCCCAACCAAAGGGTTATCCCTATGGTGACCGTGCCAAGCAACTCTGTGAAGAAACCTGAGAAATTCAATGGGTTAAACTTCAAGAGGTGGCAGCAAAAGATGTTCTTCTATCTCACTACTCTCGGTCTTGCGAGGTTCTTGACCGAGGATGCGCCGGTAGCAACCGGGGGTGAGGTGGATGCGCAATCTTTCAACGCGATTGAGGCATGGAAGCATTCAGACTTCCTTTGCCGAAACTATGTGTTGAACGGGTTGCATGATGCTTTGTACGACGTATATAGCAAACTAGCTACGACTAAGGAGCTATGGAATGCTTTGGACCACAAATATAAAAGCGAGGATGCCAGCGCAAAGAAATTTGTTGTTGGTCGATTCCTTGATTTTAAAATGGTGGATTCGAAGACGGTCTTGAGTCAAGTTGAGGAAATGCAAATGATCTTTAACGAAATTCGAGATGAAGGAATGACAGTTAGTGAGTCTTTCCAAGTGGCGTCAATTATCCATTTATTGCTGCCGGCTTGGAAGGATTTCAAGAACTACCTTAAGCACAAGCGAAAGGAAATGAACTTGGAGCAATTGATCCTCCGTCTGCGGATTGAAGAGGATAACCGGAAGAACGATGGGAAACTCCCAATTGTTTATGGCGCCAAGGCAAACGTGGTGGAGCATGCAAAAGGCTCCAAAACCAAGAATAATGGGAAGAGCAAGCTCGGTCCCAAGGGAGGCGTTTCCAAGACAAAGTTCAACGGAAAATGCTTCAATTGCGATAAAAACGGACACAAGTCCGCGGATTGCAAGGCACCCAAGAAGAAGAGGGACTCTCAAGTCAACTTGGTGCAAGGTGGGCAAAAGGATGAAGACATCATCCTTGCGGCTGTGGTGACCGAGGTCAACCTCATTGGATCCAACTCCAAGGAGTGGTTCGTGGACACTGGTGCAACCCGGCATATTTGCTCAAACCGGGAGTTATTCACAACTTTTGAGTCATCAAATGGTGAGAAAGTGTGGATGGGTAACTCGGCCCATTCCGCGGTTGATGGCGTGGGCAAGGTGGTCCTGAAGATGACTTCGGACAAAGAACTGACTCTCAACCAAGTGCTGTTTGTTCCGGAAATACGCAAAAACCTGATTTCCGGTTCGTTGTTGAACAAGCATGGCTTCCGCATGGTCTTCGAGTCGGACAAACTGGTTTTGTCTAAGTCGGGAATGTATGTGGGCAAGGGATATGCAGTTGTTGGGCTGTTTAAGCTCAATGTAATGACTATTATTATTAATAATAATAATAAAATATCTTCTGCTTACTTGCTTGAGTCTTCCAATGTGTGGCATGGTAGACTAGGACATGTTAATTTTAATTATATACGTAGATTAATTAACATGGAACACATTCCCAAATGCACAATTGATGTGAAGCACAAATGTGGAGTTTGTGTAGAGGCAAAACTAGTGAAAACGTCTTTCAAATCAGTTGAAAGAAAAACGGAACCACTTGAATTAATTCATAGTGACGTTTGTGATTTTAAATCAATACAAACACGTGGCGGTAATAAATATTTTATTACCTTTATCGATGATAGCACTCGCTATAGCTACGTTTATTTATTAAAAAATAAACACGAAGCAATCGATAAATTCATTCTTTATAAGAATGAAGTGGAAAACCAACTTAATCGACAGATTAAGACGGTTAGGAGTGATCGAGGTGGTGAGTATGAAGCACCAATTGGTGACTTTTGCGCTAGTGTGGGTATAGTACACGAACGTACCGCACCCTATTCACCTCAATCAAACGGTGTTGCCGAACGAAAGAATCGCACATTGAAAGACATGATGAACGCGATGCTAGTAAGTTCGGGCTTGCCACAAAATATTTGGGGCGAAGCAATCTTGACAAGCAATTACCTTTTAAATAAGGTTTCCCGGAAAAAATATGATAAAACTCCGTACGAGTTGTGGAAAGGCAGACGGCCTTGTTGGAGATATTTAATTGTGAATCAAGTTTGTCATAGATTAGCTTTATATTTAATCCTTGTATTTAATTAGTGCATGAATTAGATAGAAATCGGGCCAAGTGTTAGGCCCATATAAACAGGCTAAAAGCCGTGTACGCCTAACCTAAACCTCGCCTATAAAAAGGGAGTCGAAGGTTTAGGAATAGGTTAACGTCGTACTTATTCTTCATAGCCTTACACGCATACTTTTGTGTTGTACGGGTTCACGGTCTATCAAAGAAGGTTTTACGTTGATTGATTCTGTGTTCATCCTTACGATTAATCTTCGTTGTTAGATCGTTATTCATTGCTGTTACAGAAACAGGGACTAACAATTGGTATCAGAGCCGATCGATAACCGATCAGAAGAACACATGCAGAATACTCTGTTTTCTTTACGATTGTTCTTACTGTCGATATTTCGCTCTGTAATTTTGTTTCTTGTTCAAAAATTGTAAAAGTTACACCTTTAGAATCGCCTTTTCAAAGCGATCAAAGGGTCAGATTGTGTTTTTCGCATATTCTGATTTCGAGATATCTCGAGTAGGGGTTGTCGACATCTTGATTTTCTACAGGTTGTGCTACGTTTTTCGAGCTGAAAACTTTACCCGAGGATCTCGACATTCTACTCTACAGGAAACTAGCTTCAGATTTTGTGTATCTGATTTTTACA